AACAAAAAAACCATCCAACATATTTTGAGTGTTTTTGATGAAACTAAGGTAGGAAGATATAATTTTTTGATATATGATAGTGTTAGAGGACTTACTAAACAGATATATGTCACTTGACAGCATTAAAAAAGTGAAATTAAGTGTTTAATTTTTTTTTTTAAAAAGTGGTCAACCAAACGGTTGATTTGGCCCTTTATGGTGCTAATGCTAACATAATCAATTTTAATAACATTTAGGTTATTAAAATTGATTATTTGCCATAAAATCAGACCATTAGACCCATTTTGTTTATCCATTGCTATTGATAAATCACATTAAGTGTTAGCACAGCAAGAATATGCTGAAATAGTAGTAAGTCATTTTTGTAACATTCTGAGTTAATATTAGTAAATATTGTAAAAAAAAAAAAATCAAGAATAACGTAGGAATCACAAATATCACAACTGATTACCGTTTAATCAAATTACAGTAGCTGGTAAATTAATATTACTAAGTTTTCAAAATTATAATTTCATGTTGAACAATTACTATATGGACGCTAAACAATTATATGGCTAAAAATCACATGGTCCTGTGGCATGATACTCATGATACCATCCACCTTCAACCACAGTGTGTTTGAGGTCATGGTTTCGTATGAAGCCACAAGGGCTGGCACTCCACCAGTATATTGCCAACAAACCAGATGAGTGGGGCTTTAAATTGTTCTGCCAAGCAAGTTCATCTGGCATCATCCACGACTTGCTGCTGTATCAAGGGGGGTCTACATTCTTCAATGCTCCCCTGAGTGAAAAGGAACAGAAGCTACCTCTCAGGGGCCAAAGTTGTAAAAAGCAGTATGCAAACCCATAAAAGAACCTCAGCTCTTCACAAGTTGCAGCTTGGTCCAGAACTTGCACACCTCATTGGGTGTCAGGTGCATTGGTACTGTATGACCAAACTGCACTGGTGGAGCTCCCCTGATGGCAGACAAAGACCTGATAAAGAAGGGCCATGGAGCCTGGTATTACAGGTCTGATGAAGGTCTGATTGCAATGAAATAGTTTGACAAGAAATGTGTCAACCTCCTACACAATGCCTGTGGGTTCATGCCTCTTTCATCGGTCAAACGGGGGAGCAAAGAGTCCAATGCAAAGATCACCATTCCATGCCCATCACTCATCCCTGTATATAATTAGCATATGGGAGAAATTAAACTTTCTGATATGCTATTACACCTGTAGAGTTGGACAACCATGATTCAGCTCTCCAAGACCACAGACTAAATGCTACGCCCTAAGACCCCAACGACCAAAACAGCAATGTTCACTGGCATGCTACTAGAAATAAACTGTATCCAATGCCCTGGATAGTTTTTGTTATTAATTTAATTATAATTTCAACCGTTTGGTAGAGATCAATATTTTAAAAATTACAGGGTCTATTGAAAATAAAATTATTGATTGCATTTCTTATTGATTTGGGTGAGTAATAACCACAAACAAAAAAAATTTCCATTGCTTTTTTCTTGGGTTAAAAGCATTACATTGTTTGCTTGTAATTTTAGTAATGATACAAAGGCAACTCTAAAGGGTTCCTGTCTGTGTTTTTATATTTTTGATTTAAACAGTTAAAACTGATTGCACTCTACTTAGAATTAGTGATAATCTGCGAGCCTGACATCATAAATACTAATACTATACTTAATACTAAATCATCCTTATTCATCTTAATCTTGGCTTTGTCCAGCCCCTCAGTTTATCCCTTTTTATGCTCATCTCCATTTTGATTAGCTGCCCATCACAAGCAAAAAGTTTCAACAGCAGGTGGGAGAGGTCTGACATTGGACAGAGATCACTTTTCTATGACATGACAAAATAAAATTTAACACCTTTACAGGGCTGCTCTCTGATCCGCAGGTATCAAGCGTACCTGCTGTTCCTGAAAAGTACATGAATTAAGGTGTAGAGGTACTCAATGTTGCTCTAGAACAAAGGTGTCAAACATAAGGCCCGGGGTCCAGAATTGGCCCAGCAAAGGCTCCTATCCAGGCCATTGGACGGCTTTGAAATTCCCAAAGGTCAGCATGAATGTTGTTTTGGAATTTTTCCTACTGTTAAAGGCCTCACTCGCAGCCACTAGCAATGACAGAATAGTCGTTTTGTTCACGATCAAAATTTGTTTCCTACAATGAGTCAATATTTGACAACTAAAACTGTAATTTTACAAATTTTCTCACAATTTAATCTGAAAGAGTTGGGCCAGGTCTTTTTCTTTGCTCCAGCAGCATTTATGATGTAGAAAAACTGAGCCACTGTTGAAATGTACTTTTTCTCATATTAAGATACTGCAAGATATTAAATGTGTAGTTATTCCTCCTTACTCTGACAGAAAGGAAAGTTTCACTGGTTCATCAAAGTGGTACAGCCCATGAAATAAAAACTGTTTGACAGAGCTGACACAGCAAAAACCTTGGAGGAAGACAGGAAGTGGGTGGGGGGGGGGGAAAAAAAAAAAAAAAAAAAAAAATCTGGACACAACATTAAAACCACCTGTTTTAATTTCATAATGGACACAAAAATAATCTACAAAAAGACCAACTCAGGTAACCGGATAACCACGAAATGTCATTTTTACCCCCCTCATTTAAAATTAAATAAATGTCACCCACTGCTCCAGTCACATGACTTCACAATGACACGCATGGGTTTACATGTCGGGGAAATAACCTCACACATACACACACAGACCAGCAGCACCCCATCAGGAGGAGCTACACAACAATCTTTGGCGTCGTTCTCGGTGCAGCCGGTCAGCCAGACACAAGTGGAGGAGGGCAGGGAGCCGGTGGGTGGAGGAGAGACTCAGGAAGAACGGTTTCGTTAACGGAGGTATTCAGCTGAGGGGAGGTTTCACTAGCAGCGTTCAGACAGGGCGAAGCTCGTTTTAGTCTCGGGGTGTCAGCCAACTTTTCACCGTTAGCCTGCTGCCAGTCAGCCTGCTGCTAGTTAGGACTGGAAGCAATTTGTGTTCAGCAGCACATCAAAACAGTTCAAAAACAGTGGTATTTGTTTGCTATTTGCATCTATTGAGCTTTTACATTTTCACCTATGTACTTTAGTTAAATTAGAGTTGTCAGCCACAGCGCTTATAAAAGCTTTATCATCCATACTGCTGCATTCACATAATGGCAGCAGAGTCATTGCAGACTGATGGATTTAAGCAGGTTTTAGCTAGCAGCTCCTCAGCTACTGAAAACCTTATTAAAAGGTCATAAATCAGCTGTAGTAGTTTTAGTATTTTAATTTAGATCAAATATAAAACAATCTTGATGCTTAATCTAAATTTTAATGATGTACGCAGCTGTGTGCAATAATATTGTACATTTAGCTTTTTTCTTTATTTTAAAGAGCCTTACTAATGATTTATTTTTGAGTCTAAAGCCATTTATTTAAGTGTGGAGCATCCAAGAAAGAGTCTTTATATACACACATAGTTATTATTAATAATATTTTTTTAAACCTGCATACAAAACTGTTAGTGACCCCACAAACAGTTATTGGGCTTCCTCCAGGGGCGGGGTTGAAACACTGGTAATGATAATTAAAAATACACAACTCACCAGTTTTTACTAAACCATAAAACACATTTGTTTATCAAATGTACAGAAATAACAGACTTCTGTTAAAGTAACAGAGTCATTGCCATAACTATACACGCACACCGAGGACAAACCCTGAGATACTGTAAAGGGGAAATGCCATTGTAGTATTTCATAAACTGTTGTCCAGCTTATTTTAATGACACCACCTGACCAATGCTACTCTGCTACATGTGCTGCAGACAGTGCTGCAGACAGTGCTGCGTGTATTGCAAATAGTGGACAAAACTGTATGATGATAACATTTTAAAATATATAACTATATCTATGAGAGGCCAACACTGGTCTGTGTATTGCTTGGCTGTGTAAAAATAAACTGCGGCTAATTCAGACTGGAGTGTTTGCTCTGGAGGGGGTTGTAGTACACCAGTATTGTTGCCAGATGTGATATTTAAAAAAAAAAAAAAGTGATATCATGTTAATATAACACACATTTGCTAATATTTTCAAGAATTACTACCAGTAACTGTCTGGTTAACCTTCCAGTAGCATTGCACTTTAATGTTGGTTGCTAACAGTCATAAATCAGAAAAAGAGCAATAATAACTAGCCAGCTACAAGGAAAAAAAAAAGTGTATAATGGAGACTTTATGTACCTTTTCATTAGTACATTTATAATTTCTATCATAAATCTGACATTAGCAAAAATATAAATAAATGTATTGGAGTAAATGTTGTGCCCTTGTTAAGATTGCATACTGCAGTTCATCCACATGCAGACAGCTTTCATTTTAGCTTCTTGTTAAATCGGCTTTTAAATCAGTTGTCACTGTAAAACAACCCCGAGGTGAACAGGAGCAGCTAAAAGGTTCTTTTGTTAATTCTTCAACTATGTGTACAGGTGATTTAATGAAGGGGGAGTTCAATTAGAATTTCATGTGAAAACGCTGACTAAAGGGAAAACAAAAACAAAACACTCTTTAGACCAGGGGTGTCAAACATAAGGCCCAGGAGCCAGAATTGGCCTGGCAAACACTCTGATCTGGCTCAATGGACACATTTAGAAAATGTGGAGAAGGAAGGAAATCTTTAACAAGTTTTACAGCTTTTCCTACCAATAAAGACCTCCCCCACGGCCATTCATAACATCCCAAAGTAATTAAGTGATAATTTTGTTTGTTTGTTTGAGTTGTTTACAATTACAGAAATATTTCTGTAAAAAAAAAAAAAAAAAAAAAATCTACAGAAAGTTCTGTAAAATTACTTTTTTTTTTTTAAACAGAAAATATTTCTGTAAAATTAAGGAAAAACTACAGATTTGAGCCCAAGAGTTGCACCGAGAGATTTCTCTCTGCTATAGCTGCATTTCTTAATCACATAGAAAAACTGAGGCATATTGTTCAGATTGCCCTTCTTTTTCTTATATTAAGATATCTTAGGCATTTAACGTATAGTTAAGCTACTTTGCATTGACAGAGAGGTGAGTTTAAGTGGTCCGGCTCATTTAAGATCAAAGCAGGCTGTGTGTAAAATGAGTTTGACACCCTTGCTTTAGACTTTTTAGAAGTGTCAGTCACTGGGGCTCTGCTTGCCCCAGGACTGGGTACTCGTTTTGTGTACCATCTTTCACGTTTTCCCCACATTCTTCTGATTGTGCGCATGCATGCTGTCTTTGCGTTTGTGTATTATCGCCCTGCACCTAAAACTCGCTTTGCTTTCTGTCTGAACGCACACATTGGGGAGGAAAACAAATATGGAGTCTCAAGTGACATAAAGAGCATCTACAAACATTCAAACTCCAGAAATGCACTGACAAAGTTGAGTAGAGGTTGAAAGCCAAGCGACGACTTGCACTTTTGCATTGAGCGTTTACAGTCCTGCATAGATCTTTTTCATATATTTTTTTTCAATACAAACTAAGGCGTCTTGTTATATTAAGTTGGTTTGAGTCAATAAGCAGATAAAGGAAATCAAAAATCTTAACATTAAAAAAAAAAAAAAAAAAATTCAAGTAGACTACAATCTTGTTTCTCCCCCTCTCTCACAGGCAATTCCTCTGTCTGCAAGAGGAGGCCAAAACTTTTTCAATTTAAGTCTTTTTTTTTTTTCCAAGGAAAGGTCCAGTGTGATCGTTAACAGCACCAAAAACACACCGAGCAAGAGAGGGGCGTCACACTTAACGCTTGCTCGTTATTGTGAGAGGGGAATACACGTCTTTACCCAGTCATACAGAATAATCTGGAAAGAAATTAACAGTATATTGTGTTTCTTATGTACATACACACATTTAAAATTAACCACATCACAGTCTCTCTTCCTCTCTCTCTCTCACACACACACACACACACACACACACACACACACACACACACACACACACACACACACGCACACACACACACACACGCACACACACACCTTTGTCCCTGTGTAAATTACAAATAATTTATCAATATTAATTTAAGCTACTACTTAACAGTCATTTGTGGGAGCAGAGGTGACCGACGATAAACTTCTACAGACGATTCCCACGAAAGACAGAAAAACAAAAGTTCATTAGTCAGTCTGTTTCTTCTTTTTTCCTTTTCTGTACTGCAACAACGAGTCCTGTTACTCCACATGAGCTTAAATACAAATTATATTATGTAGTGTACTACTACTCTCATCTGTACCATCACCTCGCTCACACTCATTCCACAGTGATCAAGGTCAGTCATATGTAAACATGTTGACAAAGAGGAGAAAAAAAAAAGGCAGAACAAAAACAAGTGTCCTCGTCATTCACGCCGTCTTGTTCTCATACCCGGTTTGTTAGAAAGTACAGTTAAATTAAATCATTGCCACTCGTAGCAGAGATAAACTCTTTTATGTCCTCTTTTTGTTTGTTTGTTTTTTTAAAAGGAGGCGAGGGAGCAACACCCCCTCCCCCCTTCATACCGCATCACGTCCGTCAATCAAGCCGAAGAGTCCGTTGGTGGTTGTGGCCAGGAGGCGAGGATGTGACGTCTGTCTGTCTCCTGTGCTGTTATTGTTCAGTGGGATTTCCTCTTCATGTCTCCACCCTGGCTTTGGTTCGCATCTGCGTGGAGAGGGCACATTTTTAAACAGCTGGACGATGAAACAGATCCAGCAACCTGTGGCACCAGATCACTGAAGGGCACCTAATGCACTGTTTCTCATATTCTGTCTTCAGTGCGTCTACATGCATCCCAAAAGGTTCTAAACACTTAATTTCAGATAGTTTTTCTTGGAGTCGCCCCCTGCTGGTTATTAAAAAGAATGTTGGTTTCGGGCACTTTGTTTCACTTTAGGATCGAGAAAGATGTGAACAGACAATCAGGTGGAAAACAAAGATTTTTGATTTATTTAAACAAAATCCAATGTGGCTGCTGTCAGTGACTGATAAAAGCTATGGAAGTAGTCAGGATAAGTCTGTCTCAGTAAGAGGCAGACACAGCTTTCAACACTCAGAAGGGTTGAAGACTGTTTCTTGGTCTTTACTTTTTAAATGTTTATTTATTTGTCTTTACAAATGGAAATACAGAGACTGGCAGATAGCCAGTAAAAGACGATAATATTAGCCTGCTAATAATAATAATCAGGTTCTCTGTTACTGGCTATACACAAGCAGAACATCTGTTACAATGTTTAGTTTGTCCTTTTCCTTACAGAAAGATTATATATTACTAAAATGTCAGAAAGGACCATCCTTAGGGTCAATCTGAGGTCCTTAAAATACTCGCTAGAGAGCCTGAGTTGAACTGGTGCAACAGGCTGCAGCAGAACGATGAAAAACATTGTCTTATGAAACATGAAGGGCCGAGTGTGTGGGTGGTTCTTTGGCTGAAAATGTAAATTACTAAGCATCTTTAATTCTGGCAAACTGAGGTACACAGACGTCTGGCAAATTCTGAAATTTTGGGTCAATATGACATTTAAAATGAAAATCTGGCTGAAAGGTGACATCTTGACGTTATTTATATA